AAATTTGTAAAAGTTTCTATTTTTCTACGGGAGATAGACGGTTTTATTTCAAAATGAATGGAAGTACTCTTTCTCTCCCTAAGTACTCTCCCTAAGTATGAGCAGAATATTTTATTTCACATCATGCAATAAACAAAGCTCATTATAATATTTCTCATATTAAGTACATGTTTTTTTTTTTTTCATTAAGCGACTAAAATGACCCATGTAGCGAGATTTAGGCCGGTTAACCCAAGTCAGTTGACCATAGACACCAAGTTTTGAGTAACCTTGCAGGCTTAATTGCTCGAGCCAAATAGGCCTTGAAGAAAAACATAAGATATTGAGCTTTTTGTATTTTTATTTTTTATTTTTGATAATACTAGGGATAAACTTGAGCTTAGGTTTAATACATATGGTCAATTCATGTTTAAAGTCACCTTACAAACAAGTGAGAGCCATTCCAAATCTCACACATGTGGTAGAGCCCCACTAACAATGTCATAGTGTGTGCAGTGCAGATGGTACATGAAGACTTCTATACTAAGAACTCCATGAAAAACCCAAGCCAGCAATGGAAATGAGTTACAGTTTATTGATTAGCCCCATGCCCGATCACAACAAACAAATCCAAGTATATTATATGTTAAGCTGTAAAAGCAACATCCATATTTGAAAAAGTTTTCAAAATTTTTGTATTGTTTTTGTTGTTTTTCAATTCAAAATAGAAAGTATGACATACAAAAAGATGACATCACACACAAAATAAAAGTAAGAACATTACGAAGCATGCAGAAACATAAGGCATACAATGATAAAGAACGAGCATGCATAAAAATCAATGAGGTACACAAACACCAATAGTTGTACGAAGAAATTCAAATCTCAGACCATCCAATGACTTTGTAATAGGTCAGCTAATTGGTTTTCTGTAGAAATGTGCTCAAGGATTACAACACGGTTCTCTACAATCTCTCGAATAAAATGATAACGTATATCAATATGTTTGATTCGAGAGTGTTGTAGGGGATTTTTTGAAATATTAATGGCACTAATGTTATCACAAAATACAGTCATAATCCCCTATTCAATACCATAATCACTCA